GTGGTCGGCGAGGTAAGCCAAAAGTGATGCACGCCAACAGGCTTTGGCATTATTACGGTCCAGGACATTTCAGTTGGGACGAAGTGGACAACAGAACAAATGACGCTGCTGAAGACATGCCACCTGAAGAAGCCACCGTCAAAGAAGAAACTCTACTCAGTTTTGAGATGGGAAACGGTGAAGCTCTTGATGAAGTTACTACCACTGATGTGACTGTTATCGACGATAGAACATTTCCTGATGAAGCAGATGAACCACATATGAAGCACAAGCCAACGAGACGGAGACCAGTACGGAAGAAGATACGTCCCGTAAAATTAATAGACTTTGTTGAATTGTAATTTTGTATTTGTAATTCTGTACATTTAATTTAGTTATTGTTAATTGTTATTGGTTTATTGTAAGTGGCTATTGTTCGGGACGAACAATACTAAGGTAAGGGCAGTGTTGCATCAGCGAGCTCACATGACTAGTATCACGCCACCCATTTTCTAGAAATATCCTGTTCCTTCAAGAATGCCCTAGCATTCACTAGATATGTGTTAGTCTGGTATATAATAACGAGTAATTGAATGTATGCGGACAGAATATTGTTTGCCTCGTGAGACGTTTGTTATAGAGCGACTGTTGAAATTAAGTGTATCGTAAAGTTGTATTCGGAAAGAATAAACCAGTTTTATTAAGAAAGGACTTGTGTCGCTAAAGTTTCGTCGGAACGAATTTACGGAAAATTAACTAACGAACGGAGACGTAACGATATGATAACTACAGAAAATAAGTGCGAAAAAAGGTGAGAAGTATAAACTCTGACCATAAGTTGTTTGGAACTTTGTGATCAATACTAACAGAACTACATATTTTATTTTGGAATCTTTTTTTTAATTATAATTTGATTACTTGCCTACAACCTGGATGAAATTTAAATTCGATGACGAGAAACCCCTTTGAGACTAATAATGGTTGGAGATGGCTTGTAAGGGTAATGAAGAAAAACTTTAATATAAGTTTAACATAATAAACAAAATTACGACACTTATGATATACAACATTGTTTATTGACAAAAATGGGACATGGATAAACGTTTCGGAATTCTATCAGATTCCATCTTCAGTATCTGAAGCAGAATAAAATGAATTTACATAAGCTTTATACAGTTGCTAAATATAACGACAATTAAACAAATAAAACACTAAACTGTAATCGTGGGGAGAAACTACAGCAAAAAAACACAACGAAAAAAAAAAGGTAAAATCAGTAATACGAACATATTAAAATATGTATAATTTAAATGAAGACTGCATGTTGTTCAGAGTTGGAGAGTGCTGTTTGATGTGGAGGGTTTCTTTGATCAATAATTCCAGGTCAGTATTAGACTTGCAGAGGATAGAGAAATTTGATAGTATAGGTTGATGTCCTATTTCTTCACTATGTTGGCGTATAGAGGAAACACAGGGGTTATTCAATTATTTTTTTTTTGCGTTTTGATGGAAATTCCCATATATTCATAGGCTCTGACTTTTAAACGGCGTTTGGTTTTGCCAATATAGGAGGCCTTACAGTCTCCACACGTGTAAAGATAGACAAGCCAAGAACAATAAGGAATGGGAAGGAGATCTTTAGTAGGGAAAATTTTTTTATGCTTGATGTGGTTTTAAAAACTAATCTTAAATCCACTTGAGGGTAGTAACGACCAAGTATGCGTTTAAGTTGATTTTTTTAAATTTAAACTTTGTTTGTCAGTATAGAGAAGACACGAGTATATAGTAAGTTTAGGTACAGTTGGTATCTTAATTGGATTTGTGAGTTTCTTTGTTAGGAAGGTGTTGATAATGTTTTCTAATAAGTGTTGTGGATAGCAGTTACGTTTCAGGATA